AGCTTAAAATCCAGATAGTTTTTTAGAGCCTGTTTTTGGTTTAATTAATTTTATTTAAACTGTAATTACTGATTATCAGTGTGAGATAATACTCAGTAGGGTGCTCATTTAACTTCCCATGAAGATAAGTGATATTAATTTATAAAACTCCGTACACCCAGACACAGCTGAAGCCATATTAATTGTGGTGTACCACCTCCAAATAGCATTAAAATAGAATTCTCTGTCTTCTGTGTGTTTAACCAATTCTTTAACAAAGGCAAGTCATTGGTGTGGTTCACCTTCTTGGGTTGTGTTTCTAGCTCAACTTTAAGAGAATTCACGTAAAATGAAAAGTAGCTATGCAATGCACAAATTGGGAAACCTCCCAAATTGCCAAATGCAGAATAACCAACTTCTAGTCTGCATAACGGGGATTTCTGTTGTGTATTTATGGACAGAAGCATTTAAAACTTTTGCTCTTGGGTTCCATTGTACCTTACTTCAAGCAAATTGTATGAGTAATTCCATGAAAGATAAATTAGGAGTGTTTTTCACCCCCCGCCCCCCCCCCCATTTCTGCATGGAGTCACAAGCATCCTCCCTTGAAACAAAAACAAACCCCTTCCCAACCCCCCTCCCCCCAAAAAAACCCTTAGAATGTTTAAAATGATTTGATAGTAAAGTTCATTTTGCATCTAGCTTTGTCACTAGTGCCCTGATTATAGGAACCTACCTGTAGTGCTCAGTAGAGCATCACGTACCTGGGGATGCTTTTACTCTAAGCCCGAGGTATTCAACAAATTGAATTTACTGTTCTAGCATAGGAGGATCGTATGTATTTTTCTCCTATGGCTCCTTGTGCTAATTTTTCCTACCTTGCCTTTAGCTATCCTAGTGGTAATGTGTGAAATTGTTTTCCACTTGAATAAAATCCAACTTTCCCCCAGAGTTTAGGTGCTAAGCATATGGGGGAGGTGTGCTCATTCTATTTTATTGTTATTGTACAGTTATGATGCTGTTTATTGATATAAATGCAGTTCTACTTCTAAAAACATAATGGAATTTTTTTCATTTATGTGGTTGTAGAAGTTAAATACTATGAAATTGTTAAATATAGAAGTGTTTTGGAGCTTGTCCTTTATTATTTAGCCAGGCAGTTTCCTTATTGTAAAAATTAAATGCACTCAGTCTGATGCTACCTTTCAAGCTCTTAACACAGTGCATAAAATACAGAAGGGGCTCAATGACTTTGAGAGGATCTTATTTAGAAAGTTTTGGTTTGTGGCGAAAATTAAAATTTTTTGATAACTCACTGATGGAACCATTAGGTTATAGATTCACAAATTAGCTTGTGAATTGCTTACGCTTACTATTCCCATTCATTGACGTGTTTACATTTATAATATTGATGTTGCATTAATGATTTGCTTAATTTCACTTCATTATGAGTTTAACATATTAAGTTACGTGTGTGTGTGTGTGTGTGTGTGTGTGGAGTGTGTGGAGTCAGCATAGGTTTAACACTCAGGAATTGATCTTCTCTGTAGAGAAGTTACAGCAATGAAGTAGTGATTCAGAAGACAGGTGGAGGAACCAGTCCCATTTCTTAAATTTTTGGTCTCATTTTTTAAAACTATCAAGAATTGGGGTACTGAGGTACATAGGGTCACTCACTTTGGGACCTCTAATCACGTGGAGACAAGTGTATGTTTCTGGGTTATTTCTAAAGTAGAGGAGTATTTATGTTGATGAGTTGGATGTTCTTTTCTCTGCTGCTGTAATTCATTGTCCATACCTCTTGGTATGTTTTTTATATCCATATGGAATTGCCTCTTTATATGCTTGTCTCTCCCACTTGATTTATTCAATTTGAGTTGAATATAGTCTTTTTTTAAAAATTATAAACATCTGATAGAATAACATCTCTGTTCTTCGTTTTATAGATCTGGGATTCTATCTGGTATCTTTTTTTTTTTTTTTTTCAGCCGAAAAACTCCTTTTGGCATGTTTTGTAGTACAGGTCTGATGGAGACCAATTCTCTCAAGTTTTGGCTATCTAAAAGTGTTTCATTCTGCTTCTATTTTCCAAAGATATTTTTACTGGATATAGAATCCCACGATGACAGTCGTTTTCTTCTAGTCCTTTAAAGATGCCCTTCCACTGTCTTTTGCTATAGTTTCTGGGGAGAAATGAGTTATTTGTGTCATTTTTATCTTGTGTAGATCGTGTCTTCATATGTCTGGGTGTGCTTTTATGGTTTACCGTTTACTTTGGATTTTTAGCAGCTTGACTGTGAGGTGCCTAGGTGTGGGCTTGTTTGTCTTGGTATTCTTCCTCGGTGGCTGCGCTTCTGGTAGCCATGAATTGATTCCTAAAAAATCTGTTATTTCAGCCATTATCTCCTGACCTAGGTCTTCAGTACCATTTTATTTTTCTGGTCCTCCGTTACACTTGTATCACAGTGCTTCATGTTGTATCACAGCTCTTGGTTGCTCTGTTCTTTTTTCTTTCCTTTTTTCTGTGGTGGTTCAGTTTGTGTGCTTTTTGTTGGTCTGGGTATAAGTTCACCAGTTCTTTTCTCAGCAGTGTTCAGGTTACTCTGAAGCTCATCTAATGAATTCTTTGTTGGTACAATTTAAATTTCTAATGTGTTTTTAAGAATAATTTCCATGACTTTGTTGCTAAAATTGCCCATGTCCTACTTTGTGTCTGCTCTTCATTATATTCTTCAGCATTTTTCTAAATACCCTTTGAGATGATCTGACCAGTAAGTCCATCATCCAAACCATCTCTAGGTCTGCTTCTCTTTGGCTCTGGGTGACACTTCCTAGGTCCTTCGTGAATCTAGGAGTATTTGATTATATGGTAGACATTTGAATACTGTGGAAATGAAATAATACTACGAAAGACTGTACCTTTCTTCAGGCGCTAGAATGGGGGACTGAGCCTGTGTGATGTCTCGTTGAGCTGGGCTTGGCAAAGGGGCTGCTTTAGTTTGATTAGTGTCCTCTGGGCCTTCAGGATCGCTTAGCACGAATGAGATTCTGGCATTCTGCTTTTGGCTTTAAGACTGAACTGTTCATTTTCAAGACTGGGATAACTCTTTCTGCTTTAAAGTTCTGATGCCCTTTCCATGGTTAATGTAGAGTTCTTTGTGTTTTCAGTTCCATTTCTGGCTCGGTTTCTTCAGGAGATCTCGCCGACCTGGTATCTGACCCCGGCCTTCAGTGGCAGCCATCATTGATTCTCTGACGGGCCAGAATGTGTCTTTAGGGCTTCTCTCCCATCTTTTTTTTCCTAATTCAGAGTGTTTGGGAGGGCAGTCTCTTTGCATGGGGAGAGGCCACCTGGGACACTTCATGCCTCAGGACATCTTGCCCTCCCTCCAGCCTTTGGGGGATTAACCCATGCAGTTGGTGAAGGCCTGAGGGAAAGTGTCAGTAGGTGGGTGTAGACTTGCTTCAGGACTGGGGCTCCTTGGAATTTGAGTCTCTCCTGCCAGAACCCGTCAGTAGTTAAAAATTTTGCTGGTTATTATTTTTTTTTTATCCTTGTTTAACTTCTTAGTCTGTAACTGTTTGTCAGGGATCAAAGCAGCTTGTCACTTCCCAGTAGTCCTTCCAGGTTTCCTTATGTTCTCATCCCCCTGATGGGTTGAAAACAACTGTAACTTGGGAGGTTTTCTGGCTTGTTTCTGTTATGAGGATGAGAGCGGTGGTGGTATTTTGTGACTCCTTTATAAATCCTACTGGAAGCTGTCATGTTCTTCGTACTTTCCTGATTAGGTCCAGTTAGATGGACCACATGGAATGTAGTACATGGCATTTTTCCTAGGCTGTATATTCACAGTGAATTTAAAATTCTGTTTTGAAGGATAAACATTATCTTTGTATCTTACTTAAAGAAATTCTTTTTCTTTAGTGAAATAATACTGTGACTTCTTGTCCTCTTTAAATTCAGTATTTGTATCACATTTCTCTCCTGGACTATACTAGCTCTATCCAGTAGAATTTGCTGTGATGATAGAAATGTTCTATATGTGCTTTTACCAGTATGGGAGCTACTAGCCACATGTGGCTCTTGAGGACTTGGCATGTGGCTATTGCAACTAAGAAACTGAACTCTTAAATTAAGCAACCCCACATGGCTAGTGGTTGCCATGAGTAGCACAAGTCAATATATACGTTATGGCAAAAACAGCGTAAGATACAGCTATGCCGAACAATTCACAGAACCATTGTGGTTTTTGAGTACACTTCTATTAACTACTCGAAGACATTTTTTGCCTTTTTTGATTGTTACCACTTGAAACTTTGAGTCTGGGTTTTATGTGAGGAATAGGATTTGTGAAATCAAGCAATTTTCAATGAATAAACAATTAGCTTTATAAACTAATATCTATATACTTTAAAATATCAGTGAACAATTTGACTTAATAGAAATCCCGTTATAGCAAAAACCCCAGCTTTATTTCCTGAGGCTTAACCATCCTACTCTATAGCTGCTCATGAAATTCAAATACAGACCAGCCTGAATGAAGAGAAATGTGGTATTTATCAGACCAACAAGCTCTGGAGAAATAAGTAGAATTCAACTCTTAGTGCATGCATACTATGAAATATGATTTAGGAATTCTATGAAAAGGGCACTGGACAAGGGGGCTGGGAGCTAGGACACTAAGTATTAGTTTGATTGCCAACCCCTAAATTAGCCCAGTTACCTTTGTAAAACTGCTTAGTTGGCTAATCTGTAAAGCAAAGGTCACCTGCCATTAGAATCTTAATTCTATAATTTAAGATTAGAAGGAATCTTTGGAAGTTGTTCGATTTTTCTTCTGTCTTTAGACAGGATGGTTATGGAAAACTTCTGTGTTTTAAAAAAAACTTAGATTCTAGTGCTGAATGCCTTTTGATGAAGTCACAGTGATAATGTGATCGATCCTGTGGGGTTTTTTTATTTTGGCAATCAGATAAATGCTGGAGGAAATATTAATGTATGTGCTGCTTTACCTTTGTAGCTGGACAAATTTGCCAGCATAAGAATTCCAGGGAGCAAGAAAGAGAGACCTCCACTTTCCAACCTGAAGACTGCGTTTGCAAGCAATGATTGCTCTTCGGAGGTGATGGAAAACATTCCAAAGCCACTGTCACAGAATGAAGTCTTAGAACTTTTCGAAAAGATGATGGTAAGAATTATTTTTTTTCATAAAATAGTTTATGTAAAAACGTTACCTTCTAATCATGTTAGTGGAACATAAACATTTAAGATTCATGTTCCATTGGGTTATTTCTGATGTCATTGAGTATAGCACTTTAGGTGTACAGAGCTTTAGGATTACAAAAATAAGAACCAGAGGAAAATAGGCATACTGGTTTTTTGTTTTGTGTGTGTGTGTGTGTTTAATATACAGAATACACAAAAACCCTCTCAAGTATCAAATGATACATTTTTTAATTTTTATTAAAAGATTTTATTTATTTGACAGTGAGAGTGGGAACACAAGCAGGGAGAGTGGGAGAGGGAGAAGCAGGCTCCCCGTTGAGCAGGAAGCCCGATGCGGAACTCGATCCCAGGACCCTGGGACCATGACCTGAGCCGAAGGCAGATGCTTAATGACTGAGCCACCCAGGCGCCCCTCAAATGATACATTTTGAATCTTAAAGATTATCTAAGTGGTCTGTTGGGGTTCGTTTGCATTTTAGAATGATGATCACGGTGCTGTGTATGTTACGTGTGTTGATTTTTTTTGTTTGTTTGTTTTCATCTTTTTTCTTGTGTGATTTCTTTCTTAGGGTAACCAGGTTCATATAGTCCTAGAACATTTATATCTGAGGAGACTAGAACTTACTCATTTTGGGGGTGTGCCTTTTCTGGTGGAGACACACAGTGTTAGAAGCCGCATTCCGTTGCTTCTAAAAAAAAAAATGGTGATCCTGACTCTGCTCATGGCTAACCTAATTTCACCAACAACCCAGTATGTTAAGTATGTTCAAAATCATTTATCACAAAATGAATGCTAATTGCATCTAAATAGTTCATGTATAGTTCTTACCCTCAAGTTGCTTATCTCCTAGGAGTCAAAACAAACATTTGAAAAAAATGAGTAAGAAATGCCAGAGGGTGGTAATTAATGGTTAAGTTCTTTATAAGTTCAGAGTAGGAAGAAAATAATTTTTGAGATACCTCGTTAGCTTCAGGGGAAGCCAAAATTGAAAGGTTATTATAGTAGCTTAGGGAAATTTCATAAAGCAGATGGACTTAGAGGCAGGTGTGGTCTTACAGGGTTGGAATAAGAAGAGGGAAAGGGCATTCTCTTAAGATGGGGAAATGACAGTGAGCCCAGACAGAGCTAGGTACAAATAGCTCATGGGGGAACATGTGAGAGGTTTGAAAAGTTAGACTGGAATGGTAATTTGGGGCCGATTATGAGAGGATTTTGTATGCCATTCTGAAGAGTTGTATAATATTTCAACTCAGGACTTATCTATTTTATTTCGTCTATTGGTTTTGACAGCCTTATTAGTTTTTAGGGACATTCACTTAGAGTGTAAAATGTGTTTGAAATTTGAGAAAGTTAATAGCTGGCCTCTTCATTATTCCGCTAGAATCAACAAAATATTTACCGTTATACTGCCTTATTTTCTTCATCAAATATTTGTGTCCAGTGTTACACATGGAGCTTTAGAAGGCCCCAGAAAGGGAGAATGCCTAGTTTGTGTCTCCATAGGATTAATTAGTGATTCCTAACTTTTCATCACTGAGCATACATTTCATTAGTATTGTTTTGCATGAACCCTAGGCTTGGGACATTATTACCTATTATGTCAGCTCTTGGTGAAGTGCTCATTTTGGTTTTAATTAACCACACATGTATAACTCTTTATTAACTCTTTCATCTCCATGAGTTGATATCATTTCAACCTTGAACAAAAAAGTTTGTTTTTTTTCCCCCCAATTTTAGTATAAGTGCCGCCAAAGTGAGCACTTTTGTTTTTGTGTTATATTTTGCTGGCCTCTTTGCCTCTGTTAATGAGGCTTGTATAATGGTAGTTCTCTTTCAATACCACCTTGGAGGACTCAAGATAATAAAGTGCCCTTAGCTACCTCCTCATTCCGTGTACCATATGTCAACCACTCACATAAATTACCTAGGAGATTCTAGAATGGTACTTTCTTCCTTGGTGACTACTTCGTTAAGTTTTTCTTTCTGATCATAACTGCTGGTGCCATCTGAGTAAAAGTGAGTAGGCTGTTGATGTTACGTGTTTACAAGGCCACATCTTAGCACCACAAGCTGTTAAAAGCGCAACTACCTAGAGTACTGAATATAGTTCACGGTATTCTGTACTGACCGTGATTACTTGAGGGATTTTTCAGTTATTCTGAAAAAGGTAAGTTACCCAGAGAAGGGTAAGACTATCAATGTTTGTAGTTATGTATAGGGCAGAAGGATATTGACATCCTTGAAGTGTTTACACAATACATATTTAATAACTGGGCCTGATAGCTTGTTAAATCTTAAACAGGTATCCCTGTTGGCAGAAAATCGTTTGCAATCAAACTCATTTTACTCAGCAGCAGTAAAATGAAATTGTTGATGGGACAGGGCTGCCTGATTTTGCTAATAAGTGAGTTTGTGAGAACTAAGGTCTTGTTTAAAAACAACAAAAAAAACAAAAACAAAAAACTAGGTGGTTTTTCCCTTTCTGATTGCTTGACTATATGACAATAATTCTAGGGGAAAATCCACTGATGGTTCTGGAGCTGAGAAGGGTCTTTTCCCTTCACTAAATGTAGATGATATTTGTCAGGTTTTACACGGTACTGCATTTTTGACAAGTTTAAAGCTGTTCCTATGTCTGTAGAGAATGCTAGATGAAATGTTGAGTTTATTTTTTTTTTATTTGTACCTACCTATCTAGCACTTTTTAAAATTTTTAACATTTAGTGAGCGTGAGAGAGCAAGGGAGGGGCAGAGGATGGAGGGGGAGAATCTTGAGCAGACTCCCTGCTGAGTGCGGAGCCCCACAATGTGGGGCTTCATCCTGCGACCCTGAGATCATGACCTCAGGGGAAATCAAGAGTTGGTCGCTTAACCGATTGCTTAACCTAGGTCGGTTAACAGGTCGCTTAACCTAGGCACCCGTCCCTCGTACTTCTGTTCTTTTGAAGAAGCCACGCTGAATCTGCAATCTTAACGTATTGGCATTTGTAACTACAGGGGTTTCCTACCATTTAAAATTTGCGTCTAAATTCTTAGTTTTGACATTGCAATTTTTAAAACCTTATTTAACTTTATCAAAGGTATTGAAGTAATTTCTATGTAAAGTAAAAACTTTACAGAACCTTTTTCTAATAGTCTTCAGTGTGCAGACTTGATTGATGAGAGGTAGAGTATAATACTTGAATATTTGTAATCCTTTCACTTTTATTTTAGAGATGGATTTACTTGGTCTCTGGGTAGTAGTTTCAGTGGGTTTTTGGGTCGAGGTTGGGTGGAGTTTTGTTTTTTTAAGCAATGATGAATACTTAACACTACTTAAGGGCTCTTTCTCCCATTTGGAGAATTTAAGGCTAAAATCAGTGTCTGATTGGGCTCTTACTGGATGCTTTTGCGAAGAACCTCTTCCAAGTTCATGGTGACGGAATCTAGTTCCTCGCTGTTGTAGGCCTGAGGTCCTGGCTGTGATTTGGGGGCTGCCTTAGCTCCAGAGGCCTCTTTCCTATCATTTGTAGGTCTCTAAGCCACCTCCTCTGGCATCTCGTTTGATCTATAGAAAGTTCTCTGCTTTTAAGGGCTCATGTATGAGATTACGCTCACCCAGATAACCCAACATAATGTCGCAAAGTCCCCTTTTAACATGTAATGTAACTCCTTTATAGGACCAGAGATTAGGGCATGGATGTCTTTGGGGGACCATTTTGCCTCTTACAGGTATAGGAGATTAACAAAGGCTGATTCTTTTCTCCTATGGCGTTTTTGTGCCCCCTGCTGCCCAGTCTCCCCTACAGTTCCCTTGTCACTGGTGAGGTCTCCTTTGGTCTTCTGCCCTGGCCTTCCATGAGCCCATTCCTTTGCTGGAGTCGCCTTTTGGATGCAGGACCTCTTAGATGGCCTAGGGCTGCTGCTTCCCTAGGATGCACATCCTGTCCACGGGAAGCTAATGTATCCTTTGCCCCTTGCTCCTGTCCTTTATCTCATTCCCTTCAGCATCTGTCCTCTTCGGAGTATGACCTACTTGGTTCTTTCTTGCTATTGCAGATGTTTACCCTCCTGACTGTAAGTGGCTTTCTAATCATTAGATCTTATATGTAACACTGCTGACCACCTCCTCTTGTCTGCATTTCTCTTTCCTTTAGTTACCGTGACACTCCTTGCCTTCTGATTTTCCTTTTCTCTGGCCAGTTGTTACCCCAGTTTGCTTTCCAGGTTTCCTGTTCTGATTTTCATTTCCTCAGAGTGTTGCTTCTGGTCCTCTTACCTTTATCCACTTTGGTTCCTTACACATTTCTCTTGGGGGATGGGAGCTCTTTCATGTTAGAATATCCCCAATATTCTGATGCTTACCTGTCTTCAAAAAGCAGCTATAATCAAGCTCTGTAAAAGATGCTAAACCTCAACAAACCAGAAACTGATCTCATCCTTTTGATATTTTTCCAACTTTTTATTTAGAAAAAATTGACCTATAACATTGTGTAAGCTTAAGGTATACAGTGTGATTTGATAAATGCACATATATATATTTTAATGTTTTGTAATGGCACAGATACTTTATTGAAGTATAGTTGACACACAATGTTACATTAGTTTCAGGTGTACTACATGGTGACTGGAGCATATCTATTTCTAAATGCTTACCACAGTAAGGGTAGTTAACGCATCTGTCCCCTCACGTAGTTACCATTCCTTACCCTCAATCCCACGGTCAGAACTTTTAAGACTCAAGATTTAGGGGAGCCTGGGTGGTTCAGTCTTGACTCTTGATTTTTGGCTCAGGTCATGATCTCAGGGTCCTGGGGTCGAGCCCTATTGGGCTCTGCACTCAGTGGGGAGTCGGCTTGAGGTTTTCTTGCCTTCTGCCCCTCCCCCAACCCCTTTAATAAATTAAAAAAAAAAACTTAAGATTTACTCTTAGCAATTTTCAAGTATATAATACAGAATGAGATTGACCAAGCTGTACATCA